CAGTTATTAACCCTGCTAACAACTCAATCAACTTTACTCCATCTTAAACAAATCTAACATTGAAATTGCAGGGGCAACCCTTTAAAAATCAGATAACAACAGCAAATGAAGAAACAGCTATTTAGTTTTCAGGTGTATGTTTTTAGCCATGTGATTAGTAACCTCAACAGGGATAATTCAGATGAGCAACTACGAGCAGAGATGTAAGTAAGCCCTTAGGGTAAGAAAATAAGGGTCAAGATGATTTATAGAAACTTACTGACCTGACAGAGAACCGCACTCGTTCTCTCTACACTGACACTCTGTTAAAAGGAACTTCCCCTTTTTCACTCACAAGGCAACAGGGATTACAATATAGTTTGCAGGCAAGAACGGCCATTTTTAAAGTAAAACCAAAATCAAGACACACAATCATAAAGCCTGAAATAAGCAACAAGCACTGTCACTCATCACTGGGCAAACTTTAAACATTTAGCAGCACAGAAGCACTCTAGGTTTGACAATGCTGGAGAACAAAGCCCTTTGCCCCCTGCCATGATGCTGCCCTAGACATGGTCCCCAGCAGCGAGGGTACCGGGGCAGCCGTGTCCCACACCCCGACTGCTGAATTATGCAGCTGCAATGGGGTATTCGAAAAGGAACAGCCTGCCTGTAAGAAGCCGACTGAAACCCACAAAATTCATTTCACCCAAGCTATGAAACCAGTAAATTTTGCCATATAAAGGTATTGCTTGCTGGCCTAGATTCAGAGGAACAACCTAGACTGAAAGGATCTTTAAAAACACCACTAACGATCCCCCCTGGAAAGTGAAGGATCTAACGCATGTACAAACGCTACTATTCTTCCTAACTAACTAACTCACCCTGTTGCCTGAATCTTTAAGAACCCAGCACAAAACACGCTCGAGAAGTCCTATACCTAATTTTACGTGGTCAGTGAATGTGGACAAACCAGAGTAACATAGCTGTGGGATAAAAATGGTAATTAATGCAGAAACCACCCAAAGCTGAATGGCTGAAAGGCACAATGCATTAATGATTCCATTTAGAGGCTATTAGAAAACTGCTCTGCTAAGATGAACCACATTTAGAATACAAACCTAGCACCTGCACACACACAAAAACCAGCAGGAAGAAAAAGTATTCCATGACAGGCATATACAATAGTTAATCAAAAATGCTTGTTTCTTAGAAGTGTATAAACCCCAAATTGTTTTGGTTTGGGTTGCTTTGGGTTTGGGGCAAAACCTACTGATTTCTCAGCACACTACCCAAATATTGGGCAGCAAGTCGTATTTCCTTGACAATTTAGCTGTTCAAATACTGTATTTGCCCAGAAGATAATTACCTGTAGTCTGGAGAAAACATGAAATGCATACACGTGTTTGATTTATGCATTTATCCACCATACACAGCCAGTCACACCGCACCCTACCTCGTTACCACTCAGTTACTCAAGTAACTCTCCTCTGTTCGACCTACATCCCTGTCCTGGTTTCAGCTGGGACAGAGTTAATTTTCTTCCTGGCAGTTAGCAGAGTGCTGGGTTTTGGATTTAGGATGAGAAGAATGTTGGTAAGGCCCCGATGGTTCAGTTGGTGCTGAGCAGGGCTTACACCAGGCAGTGACTTTTCAGCTTCCCCTGCTCTGCCAGGGGCACAAGGAGCTGGGAGGGGGCACAGCCAGGGCAGCTGACCCAAGGGCTACTCCAGACTGTATGGCATCATGCCCAGTACAGAAACTGGGGGGAGCTGGCCAGGGGGCAGCGATCACTGCTTGGTTGGTGGGTGGCAAGAGGTTGCATCACTTGTTTTTCCTGGGTTTTGTTCCCTTTTTGTTTGTTGTGGTTTTCCTTTTCACTACAATTTATTATGATTAGATATTATTTCCATTATTAAACTGTTCTTATCTCAACCCATGAGTTTTTTTACTTTTGCCCTTCTGATTCCCTCCCCCATCCCACCAGGGACAGGGAGGGTGAGCGAGCGGCTGTGTGGGGCTTAGTTGCCAGCTGGGGTTAAACCACAGCAATCCCACTGCTGACACCAGCAAAACAACAAAACAAGGCTCTGGGTCGCTGTAAAAGCTTTTAGCCTAAAATTCTAGCATTTCCCTAGCAAACAAAAGTGTTTTCAACCCCTGGGCTTCCAGCCCTAGCGGCGGCTAGGAGGCTCACTGTAGGCAGTAGTTCAGCGCCTGCCTCCGAGC